GTCAACTTACTGAAGTCAGAGCTGGATACATGTTATTCTGGAACGGCCACAGTGAAAGGGAGCACCTTGAAGCTGGTATAGGTTTTGCAATTAAAACTAATATAGTCAACAAGCTTGTATGCCTACCAAAAGGAAGGAATAACAGTCTCATGACAATGTGATTGCCACTTGCAGGAAAGTGACACACCACCATCATTATGTTTTTGCTCCCACCATCATGAACCCTGATGAGGTCAAAGAAAAAGTTTATGAAGACCCAGTTTATAAAAAGTTTATGAAGCTTATAGTTCTGGGTGACTTTACAGAAAGAGTAGGCACAGACTACCAGACATGGCAAGGAGTCCTTGGGAGAAATGGAGTTGGAAACAGAAATAACAACGGCACTGAAGACTTGTGCATCTCATGACCTTCTCATTACCTGCACTCTGTTCTGTTTACCTAAACACAATAAAATTTCATGGACGCATCCTTGAAGCGAATGTTGGCATTTAATAGATTATGTCATTATAAGGAGAAGAGACAAAAGGGATATGAGAGTGATGAAAGTAATGTGTGGTGCAGAGAGCTGGACTGATCATAGACTTATCCTCTCTGAGCTAAACATTCACATTCAACAAAAGCATTATCCCCTAGGCAAGATGACTACCAAAAAACTTAGTGTCAACAGATTAGAGAGTGAACTGTTCATTGCTAACATGGAGGAAAAGCTGAGCTACCACATGGTTGGCGACAGTGGAGCAGAAAAGGAGCAGGCAGCTTTCAGATATTTGGTATGCAGCATTGTATTTACTTCTCTGGGCCACAACACTTACAAACATCAAGACTGGTCTGACAAAAATGATGGGGAAATTCAGCCAAGCAAATTTGCCAAGCAAAAAAGGAGAACTCCACAGGATTTCCCAGCAGGATAGTTCATCCATCTCTAAGAAGGCAACGTTTAACTCCATCAAAAGTAAAACGCAATCAAGGCTTAGAGAGATGCCAGATTCTTGGTTCAGTAAGAAGGCAGATGAAATTCAGTTTTATGCTGATGATAATAATCAAAAGCACTTTTATGATGCCTTGAATGCTATTTATAGGCCAAAAGCCTATGGTTCATCTCGACTACTCAGTGCTGATGGATACACATTGATTAGTGATAAGGACATGATCCTAGGGAGATAAGCTGAACAGTTCCATCATGTTCTCAACAGACTGCCATCAATCAATGCTAATGTCATTGACTGTATGCCTCAGATTGAAGTCAACCCTTCTCTAGCCAAACTTCCAACTGAAGAAGAGGTTTTGAATACCATTCAGCCCCTCTTGAGTAGCAAAACTCCTGGTGCTGATTCTATTCCAGTTAGGATTTACAAGGCATGGGGTCCACTGCTCATACAAAAGCTGACTGAAATTTTCCAAGTTATGGGGCAAAAGGAAGTTATCCCCCAGGAGTTCAAGGATGCCTCCATTGTCCATCTCCATTAAGGTAAAGGAAATAGATTGTCTTGTAACAATCACAGGGATGTCTTTCTCTTAGTCATTGCTGGCAAAATTCTTGCCAGAATTCTCCTTAATAGGCCAATCCTCCACCTGGAAGATGATTGTCTACCTGAGAGCCAATGTGGCTTGAGAAAGAGCTGAGGAACAGTTGATATGGTATTTGCTGCCTGGCAACTCCAATAGAAATATCAGGAGCAGAACAGGGGTCTATATACAACATTCGTTGATGTGACCAAGGCCTTTGATACTGTCAGTTGTGAGTGCTTGTGGAAAATTATGTCAAAATTTGGTTGCTTGGAGAAGTTCATCAGTATTATACATTAGTTTCATGACAGCATGCTTGCATGGGTTCTGGAAAATGGACAATGCTCTTGTGTTTTCCCAGTCACCAATGAAATGAAACAGGGCTGTGTGCTTGCTCCTGTGCTTTTTAACATGATGTTTTCAACACTTTTGCCAGATGCCTTAAATGAGGACAAAAATGGCATTGTCGGTTACCTCACTGACAGTAAATTATTTAATTTGAAAAGGCTACAAGCCAAAACTAAAATGGACAGAGAGTTGGTAAGTGATTTTTCATTCGTTTGCAGATGATCTGAGGTGCAACAAAGTACAGACTGATTCTCTGCTGCTTGTGTTAGTTTTGGTCTAACAATTAACACCAAGAAGACACAGGTTCTCTACCAACCAGCACCATGCCATCCATATGTGGAACCATCAGTTACAGCAAATGGAGAAATATTGAAGCTGTGGATAAATTCACTTATCTTGGCGATATACTTTCCAAGGATGTCCACATAGATGATCAGGTTGACACATGTGGTGCCAGAGCCAGCTCAGTGTTTGGGAGGCTCCAAAGGAAAGTGTGGGAGAGAAGAGGTATTAGATTGCCTACCAAATTGGAGGTTTATAGAGCTTTTGTGCTGACCTCATTGTTGTATGCCTGTGAAACTTGAACAGTTTCCCAGCATCATGCCAGGAAAGTGAATTGCTTCCATTTGAATTATCTTAGAAAGATTCTGAAGATCATCTAGCAAGATAAGGTGCTGAATGCTAAGGTCCTTTCTCAAGTTAAACAGCCAACCATTCACACTCTTCTACAAAGAGCACAACTCCATTGGGCTGCCCATGCTGTTTGAATGCCGAATGTGCATTTGCCTAAAAGATTGTTTTATGGAGAATTCACACAAGGCAAGCACTCACATGGAGGGCAGAAGAAGCAATAAAAGGACACTCTCAAGGTCTCTCTGCAGAACTCTGGAATTAATTGTGTGACATGGGAGGCACTGGCAGAGGACCACCCAGAGTGATGTACCGTGACTCAGACATGGTGATGTCATTTTGGTCCTTTTGGAGAAGGAAGGACAACAATCAACCAAATAACATTCTGATGCAGGAAGGTAAAACGTAAAAGGAAAGGTATCTAGCAAAGGGGCTTGATTTAAAAGTCTGGATTTCAATCAGTCAACATTTATTAAGTACCTACCACTGTGCTAAGTGCTAGGGATACAAAAAAAGGCAAAAGACATTCCCTCCCCTCAAAGAGATTACAATCTAATACTTGCAGCCTGATGAGAATTGAAGAAATAGCTCCTCTATGTACTCTCCTTAAACAGAAGTTCTGAGAGGAGGCATCTAGTAGGAGAGAAAAGCCTCAAGGGCAAAGGGTACTTCTAAGGTGTGAATTCCAGGACTGAAATGATGTTCCAGCTTGAAGAGGTGTCTCTGGCCTGGCAGAGAAGTCTGAAATGCAGCCTGGTGAGAAGATGCTAATAAATTGACCAAAAAAATGAAATACTCTCTGCTTTCTAGTGGCTTACATTCCATTGCAGAAGAAGAATAAAAGATATTTTAAAAGAGATGTATGACCAGTAAAAGGAAATTGGATGGTCATGAGGTAAGGGTAGAATAATAGCTGGTGCTCATAGAGTGCCAGAAAATGTACAGGAAGGCTTCCAGTTAAGATATCAACTTATTCAAAGTCAACCCAGGGGCATTTAAGGACTAAGATGAATAGAGAAATCCCCCCCAAAAAAAAATAAAAGAAGCAGAAGAAAAATGGAAAAGATATATTAAAAAATTATGGACCTGGGAGTATATGAACATGAACAGAATGAAATTATGAAGGAGTATTCCACATCAAGAGAAACAGCTGCACTGACGTTTCCAACTTTCAGGACATTTGAGGATATTTGAGGACATAGCACATTTACAATATCCAGAGAATGCTGATCATATCCATTGCAGCAAGTAACCACTTTCTGGTAAGTGAGATTTCTTCTTTCACTTGTCAGCAGCATTCATGAACTTTCTCAAAATAAGCAATATGCTCATCGGCACTATTGCCACCGGATGCAGTTACCAGTAACATTAAGGAATCAGATAAATTAAGCAATAACTGTTAAATAGCATGAGGTTGAATAAAATTCTGAAGGGATGGAGATGTTCATCTGCTCATAAAAGAAGCGAATTCTTCTCTTCTTTTGCCTTAGTCAGCAAAACATCTGTCTTACTTGCCAAATGGAGAGAGGTGGCTGCTAAAGGCAACACCAGGTTAGAAAACAAACTCATTTGTAAAATCTTACGAAGTAGGGTGATGGACAATTATGAGCAGTATGGTCTCATAAAGCAAAGAGAAGCAGTGGAGGGTAAAAACAGCTTAAAAGAAGCTTGGCAAGACTTCCGACTAAGCAAAGTCATCCCAGGGGCATGTAAGGTTGAAAATAAAAAGACAAAAAGAAATAAGAAAAATCTAAGTGAAAAGCATTAAAATAAACTGTTTTCTCCAGGAAGGACAGTGGAACTACTGTAGTCCAAACTGGAGAAAGCATCTGGATTGGACCAAGAGTATACAGACAGCATCCTATCTGTTGCAGTTGTGACATGATTGTGAGAGTATTGAGGTTTTAATATACAATAGCTTGAAAAAGAGAAGATATAAAATATGTTGTGTGGGTTGGGGGGCAATTTAACAGAGTTGGGTTAGGCATAAGGAAAAATTTCCCAACAAAATTCTTAACTATTGGAATGGGTACTAAGAAAAATCATTAAAGCTTCTTATTTGGATATTTTAAAAAGTGCGATAGGGCAGCTAGGTGCACAGCGGATATAGTGCTGGGCCTGGAATCAAGAAGACTCATCTTCATGAGTTTAAATCTAGCCTCAGTCACTTACTAGATATCTGACCCTAGGCAAGTCACTAAACTCTGTTTGCCTCAGTTTCTTCATTTGTAAAATCAGCTGGAGAAGGAAATGACAATATGTTTTCCAAGAAAACCCCAAATAGGGTCACAGAGAGTTGGACACGACCGAAAAATGACTGAACAACCAAAAAATGTAAGATAGATTATCATCTTTTAGATGAACCTAGATCTACCTGAGATACAAACACCTCATCAATATGCTACAGCAAGCCTGCCTTTCCTTCTCCCCTCCCCTTGCTCCTCTTCCTCATCTGCTTCTTCCCTTTTTCTTTTGACTCTTTGTTACTATATGGACTTGGCATATCTATGACACTCACTGCTATGGTGTTCATAACCAGTGAAACTATCTACACACCAAACAGACTGAAAAAAAAAACACTGAGAAAACATCTTGGGTAAGTTACTTCACAGGGATCTTTCTAACTCTAATTTCCCAAATCATGAAGATATTGAAGAAGACATAGTAAATCAGACCTTGATCTTGACCTTGACCATGAAAATATTTCTATGCAACTTAATACTGTTGTTTATAATGATCTCTTTCAAATAGTTCTTTAATTGTGATCCTTCTTACAGTGCTCATATCTAGACCATTTTAATAATTTTAAAGAATATAATTTCATAAGCAAAAAGGAAATTTTATGTAACTCTAAAACTTTTATATATGTTTGAGTCTGCAAAATGGGCTAATCTATAAAAAAGAAACTATCAGAGCTAGTCTCTCACAATATTCTTTGTATAAGTATATGCATGGCTATGAATTTGGAATCAAAGCACTCAGACTTCTCTGCTATTTATTATCTGTGTGAACTCAGAGAAGCCACTTGACTTTTCTGGGTCTTCCTTTTCTCCTTGTAAAATGAGAGGGCTAGTCTGAGTGATATTTTAACTCCTGTCCAGATATACATGCTATGTGCTATCCTGACTCCAATATTTGTTGCATTGTTAGCATAGCTGTTGCTTGAAAGGCAAAAAATGAAATAAAAATAAAAATGGAGAAGAAAGGAAGTAGGATGGATGATTCAGCAGGTTACTTTCGAGGCAAATCCCCCTTTGTTATTATTGCTGTTGTTATTCAGTCATTTTTCGATCATGCCTGGCTATTCCTGACCCTATTTGAGATTTTCTTGGCAGAGAGACTAGAGGGTTTGTCATTTCTTTTTCCAGTTCATTGTATAGATGAGGAACTGAGGCAAACAAAATTAAGGGACTTGCTCAGGGTTACATAACTAGTAAATGTCTGAGGCCAGATTTGCACTTGCAAAGATGAGTGTTCCAGACTTCGGGCCTGGCACTCTCTCTGCTGCACTGCCTAGCTGCCCAAATCCCTCTTTTCTGGTCTTTTCCCATACTTTAATGTCCAGTGATACCGGGGTAAATCACTATTATTTGAACAGCTCCTGTCTTTTCCTATCTCCTCTGCTTTTGATCATCTCAAATACCTGCCCACTTAAGGGCTTCCCATCCTGCCAGGCCCATCTTAGATTTTACCTTCTTTCTTGATCTCACTCTTCTCTCCATCCCCAGGCAAAAGTATTTTTTTTCCTTGGATCTCTTAGAATGCTTATTAAGTGTTCCTATATTTGTAGCATGTTCTCTTTTATTATTATTATTTGTGTACCTGGCATTTTGTAGCTTACTAAGCTATAAGCTCAAGAATAAAAAGCATGTCCTATTAATTTTTATCATTCCCAGCAATTAACACAGTGTCTTACATGTAGTAGATACTATATCTGTTGAACTGGATTGAATGAAATCGAATCAAGTAGATTAAGAATAGCTACCTCAGCCATTTAGAAACCAGAAGATTATTTGATCATCCATCAGAATCTCCAGGCTTTATATTCTGAGTTCCATTGATCTTTCCTCATTAGTCTTGCTTGCTTACCTTTTAAATATTATAAGGTTCTCTGAACTTTCTCCAACTTCTTCTTATTTTTATTTGGCCATGAAGCCCCAAACTGAACAGTTGTATAGGTTTGAGTGGTGCTAAATTATAATCTGGATAAAGGAGAATGTGGCAACATTCATAAATTGCAGATTAAAGCTGAATTTGTAGAGGTTCCCTGATTAATAAATAAATGGCAAAAGTATCTACAATTTGAAATAAAGAATGTAACTAAAATTAGGGAAATGGCAGTAATAATAATCTGTGTTAAATATCTGCAAGCACAAACGACTTGTGGCAGAGAATCACTGTTAAGTTTGTCGAGGGCAGAGACAAATTTGAATTTAATCAAACAAAAAAATAATGAATAAACATTTATTAAGCACCTACTATGTACCAGGCACTGGGCTAAGCACTATGCTTAGCTAGTCTTTGTATTCGGTACAGATCACAGTAGTAAGTTAATAAATGCTTATAGAACTGAATTGGAAAAAAGGAAAGAATGAAAGCAGGGGAAAAGTAAACTGATGGTGACTAAGAATAGCAAATGTAATGAGTTTTGGGGTGGGGGGGAGGAATGTGGCAGTGAAATAAATAATTAAATGAACCAATGAATCAATGAACGTTAGTGATTATATTACAACAAGGAGAACATCCCTGGATAAGTATATTCCTGATGTGCTATAGTTCAGATATATTTAAAATAACAGATGGATTACCTCAAAGAAGTGTTGGGGGTGGGGTGGCAGAAGGAATGATTGTGGTAATGGAAAGGCCAACATATGAGAAATGACTAAAGAAAAGGTTATGTAATAACTGAAAGGAGACTTGATAATTTCTTACAAAAATCTGAGGTAGAAGAAACCGACTGCAGAGATAGAAAAATTATTTCTTAAGACATAGAGTAGTTAAACTTAGAGAGTGTAAGTAAAGGGTGAGAATTATACTCCATATGAGTGAAAGATTCCTGATGGTGGAAATTATTATACCAGAAATAATCTTCCAAGAGAAATGATGGAAGACCCATCCCCAGGAATATTTAGAATAAGGCTACATAGGGACCGAGAAAGTATATGACATACAAAGTATGTTGATATAACAGTGTATCAACATCTCTAATCTCAAAAAGACATCTCTGATATTGGTAGAAACAGGTTAAGGTAGCCATAGGTGGTTATGATGTGACTTAGGTAACCAGCACCCTGGGCAGGAGTGCTGAACTTAATCAGTTCATCGGCATGGTATACAAGATGTTATAAGTATACAGAAAACAAGAGGCCAATTCTCTTGCATGAAACATTATTTTGGCCCACAGAGGGCTTACCACTTGAAAAAATTGTGAATGACCATCAGAAATCAGAAGAACTTAGCTCTACCATGAGTACCTACTATGGGAGTTAAAAGATAGCAGGCAAGATGTGAGTACAGATCAGAAAGCAACAGTTAGGCTCCCCTTATATCTAGCTCACTTCCACCACCAATGGTGCCTGTGATAAGGGAATAGATAAGAGAGCTGTGTTTTCACAACCCCGGAAGCAAAGGAGGGAATAAATAAATATGAAAAACAATATCTTATCCAGTGCTTCATTGTGACATGGAGATGATACTAGATTCTAAGTCTATGCCAGTAGAGCACATGCCTAGGTAACTCTGAACAAGCAGATGGTCTTCATGTATGGGTTAATGGGGGATCATTTACATTTATTGTCTGAGGGGCCTAAGTTCAGAGGTGCTAAATCACCAGCTTGGTTGCAGGATGATTAAAGGTTTTGGATGTGACAATTCTTTTTTTAAAATTTGTTTTATTTTCTATTCACAGAGTTAAACAAACATTTCCATGCCAGTGTACAATAAAAGAAGGTGAAACTGTAAATTTATCATGTACAAGTTGCTATTTCCTCCAAATATACAACAAAGTTGTCATGTAAATTTCTTTTTTCCCTTCCCCCATGGCCCCACCCTCGAGATGGCTACCATTAGACACAAATGGGTACATATATATATATGCACATACACACACATATATATGTATCTATGTATACATATATAAGATTATTCTGTACATGCTTCTATTTATCAGTTCTTTCTCAATGCAGATACTCTCTTTATATGTCCTTTATTTTTATTTGTTCATTTATAGTTATTTTATAATAGTCAAAATGTATAATTTATAAGTAGTCAAAATTACTTAGCAGCTAAAAGTTGTTCTTAAGACAATATTGCTGTTACTGTATACAATGTTCTCTTGGTTCTCTTACTTCACTCTTTATCATTTGGTGTAAGTCTCTCCATGCCTTTCTAAGATCGTCGACCTCATCATTTCTTATAGCACAGTAGTATTCCATAACAACCATACAGCACAACTCACTTAGCCATTCCCCAACTGATGGGGATCCCTGAAATTTCCAAATTTTTGCCTCCACAGAGAGAGTTCCTATAAACATCCCATTCACATTCTGTGGGCTGTGGGTGAGAAGGAGAAAGCACATGCCCAGTGAGTGTGGTACCACTGGGAGCAAAAACATTCAGGACACTGTGGCCCTAACTGTAGCTTAGGAGAGGAGAGGAGTCCTTGAGTGAGCCCCTGGACAGAATTGAGAAAATAATAGCAAGGAGGACTTAAGAATATGACAATTTCTAAAGACCATTTTCTAAGTTTAGAGGTAAACAGGAGTAGTGGTGCACAACTATGCCAACAAAATTATCAATCCCTGAAATGTTGATATAATAAATTATTTTAAGGTATGTAAAGTTCTTTCCTTACCCTTTCATGTGAGGTCTATAGAGAGTTTAAGCTATTATTGCCATTTTATAGGTGAGGAAATAGGATTCAGGAATTTAAATGACTTGTTTATGCCAGTTAACTGTGTTAGCTAGGATTCAAACTTGGGGTTTCTGATTCCAAATATGCTGAGATAAAGTTTGTAAAGTGCTTTGCAAAACTTTGAATATGGGTTTTCCCAGCCCAAGAAAGCACCAGCTGTGAGAATGGTAGAGTATTAGGAAACATGTGAGAACTATATGCGTTCCACCATATGGCTGAGAGGAGATCATGGACAAAATCATTTCTTCAACCCCTGCCTCTTAGTTTGAAGAGAGAACATTTCCTAGTCAGCATGATGATAGAATATATACTTCTAACCAAACAAGAGAGAATTCCAAAGCAGCTTCTGCCATTTGAGTAACCCCAAGTTTGAGCTGGAGGATCTGGCCTTCTAGAGAAAATTTCCTAAACAGACAGATTACCTACATGCTTCCTGTCACTGCGGAAACAGTAAAGGACTAAAGCTACAACTTAGCACTCCTTGAGATAAGCCAAAGATCTAGACTTTACTCCCCAAGATTACCATGAGTCACTTAGGCAGCTAGGTGGTACAGTGGATAGAGTGCTAAGGTTGGACTCAGGAAGACTTGAGTTCAAATCTCTCCTCAAACCCAAGCAAGTCACTTAAACTCTGTTGGCCTCAGTTTCCTCACCTATAAAATGAGGATAATAACATCATTGCACATGTAGCCAGTGCTATATAAATGCTTATTTCTCTTCATTTGCCTTAAAGAGTACAATTCTGATGAGGAGTTTCCTATCCAGGAAACCCCAAGTGTTAGCCTCCAGGGAGAGTTCACATCCCAAAATGGCACGATGAGTTTGGGAGGAACTGTGTAGTAGCCTTTGGATGAACTAAAGGTTTGCTGAAATGTCAAGATGTGGCCTCACTAGCCACCCCAAGTTCAATTTATTCCTTAAGGGAGTCCAAGCTGTGGAGGTGTCAGAAATCTTTAAGGATCCTGGTGAAAAAATAGAATCTAATAGAGAGGATGGACTGTAGGGAATGAGCAGCTCTTAGCGCTTGAAACTTTTTTTCTCTCTGTTTTTGAGTTCCTGTGAGTCCTTAGCACATTTTGCATTTTCTTTGAGGCAAAATAAACTGCATCCTTGATATGCATTGAGTTCTTACTTGTACAGGAGCTGGGGACCCTGTTACCTACCTTTGTAGAAATACATGAAATTGTACATACACTGGATTTGGAAATTTTCTCAGAGTAAACTCTGCATGGGGTAACAATCAGGATCGAGTATCAAACATGGACTAGATGATCCCAGAGCTTGAGAACAGAAGTGTCCTCAGTCAAGTTACAGAAAAATCTTTGCTCATGACATTTTTTTTGTCTCTAGTATCTACCCCCAACTCTGAAGTCCTACATAGCCTTTACAGCCTATCTCAATCTCAGGAAGCCTTTCTTTATACCTGTAGTTGGTAATGAACTTTTCTTCCTTCAGACTTCACATAGCATTTTCATTCCTGTAATAAACATCAGTGGCAGACCCATAACATTCATTCTGGGCCCCTCCTATTCCCAGAAATCAAGGCATTAGCTTCTAAGGAATTAGGTTCTTTCCCACAGCTAAATGTCAGAGGGAAGTACTTTACAGAGCTGTTCTGCCTAAAGACAAGTTGCATAACTGTCTGAGCATAGTCATCAAACATCTCTAACTTCCTGAGGTCATGAGTATTTTGCAAGCATTTTACCATTTAGACCTCCTAGGGTGCATAAACCCTCTCCTCATAGGGGTTATTAGCCAGCTTGGTGCTGGAGTGACATTTTTCTTATCATCAAACAACTATGACCGGTAGGGCTTATAACACAACTTTCTCAGTAGACTGCTGAAGCTCAGGGTAGGCTGGACTGAATGAGCCTACCACTTTAAAACTACCAGGAAAGAATCAAAAAAGCTGCTCATTTCCCTTGCACCCTATACAGTCTATGGGCAGCTAGGTGGTTCGGCGGATAGCATGCTGGTCCTGGAGTCAGAAAGATCTGAGTTCAAATCTAGCCTGAGACACCTACCAGCTGTATGACTCTGGGCAAGTCACTTAACCTTGTGTGCCTCAGTTTCTTCACCTGTAAAATGAGCTGGAGAAGGAATTGGCAAGCCACTCTGGTATATTTGCCAAGAAAACCCAGAAACGGGGTCATGAAGAGTTGACACAAATGGACAAAAAACTGAACAACCTAAGTCTCCTGAATAAGATACTTCCACAACTTTGAAATTCAGTGCTGAGTACTGATGGTCTGGTCTGTCAAGCTAACATGTAGTTGTACTTATCATAGCCCCTTATATAGGAATATTAACTCCATAAAGACAGGGACCCTGTCTTACCTAAACTTGTGCCTCACCCAAATGCTGAGCAAAGTGCACACAGTAGGCACTTAATAAAAGTTTAATGATCAATTGATATGTTTGACTTATTTTTACAGTAAATTACTCAGGTTTTCTCTCTATACTTCCTAAATTGACTACCTAATTGTTCAACTTGCTTTAATTTTATAGCCTAAAGCAAAAAAAAAAAAGTTGAAAGTTTAAGGTCTTCTAGAAAGAAAATACTTTGGATGTGGTAAAGATGTATTTTTACATCTTACATCTAACAATCCAAAAAAGGTTATACTATTAATATAAGAATATTAATGTTCCCATGAAATCAGCAGTTCCTACATTTCCTGACAGGTTTGTAACATTGCCTTGCAATGGGACCCGTTTTTGCATTACAAAAATAGGATATAAAATAACAATATAAATATTTACCATGGCAAATTAGTTGTACATACTGTATGTTATATATTTTGGAAGGAATACTAATATCACATTCTAATGATTAAATTTTGTGTAGGCTTCATTACATATCTATCATTCCCCATGTATAATAGCGTGTTAATAGAGAAAGATTCAGAAATATATTAAGCAACTTGTAGCTATCAGTCTAAGCAAACAGCAATATAGGTCTATATAATCCATATCCCATAAATACATAGAACTGTTCAATCAGCTCTCATTTTAGTTCTTAACTAAATAATAAATATGTTTTCTATTCATCCCATCTTTCTACATATGAAACTAATTGCACCCTAAAGAGAAAGCTTACATTCACTTAATAGGACTCTGAAGTCCATTCTCCCCAGCTCAAGAAAATAAGTTGAATAAAATTAAATCCCTGTAAAAATGGTTGGTTCCTAGGAGTTGGATATTTTTAAATACATATAGATAGATAGATAGATAGATAGATAGATAGATATTATTGTTATTATTATTATTTATGTAAAGGGAAAAGAAGTTGGAGTAGGGGGTAGGGGAAGGGATTGTTTCTTTTCTGTTAATGTTGCCATATTGCTTGGTTCACAGCCGGAGACAAACTGAAATGGCCATCTGGATGATGTGCATACAAAAGGGGTGGTTTGCCAAACAAAGAAAGTACCTTTGATTATACAGAGCAGTGTTTCTATCCTTCACAGAGCTTGATTCCAGTCTCTTGTCCTACGTACATACATGTCAATACAAGCAAGAACTGTGGGCAGTGGTAACCTGTTTCCCTGAGGCATCAGCTGCAGGAAGAAAGGCGCAGGTGTGTATCTCCACCTTCCCCCCCCAACTCCATTCAGAGGAACTGAATGTGCTACATGCCTAAACATTTAAAATGACATTCTGATAAGAGCAGACTTTCCAGCCAGCCCCTCAGCATCTTCTAAATGTGCACCCAAAGACAGGCACGCATAGCAACACGTGCAGGATGACTGGTTATCCTGCACGTGATCCCACATGCATGATAACCAGTTTTAGATAGATACCTGCTGTCTAGTCCCAAATGCCTATGGGTCTATGTGGCACAGTGAATGCCAAACTCACAAGCCCCTTATGAAAATCTGGCCCAAGATACTGAATCCTAGAGGCAGTAGTAGCCTTTTGTATTTTAGTCTGGGATTTCTCTATTTGTGTTAAGTGATAGGGTTACCTTTTTTCAGACAGTACAAAAGCTTGGGTGAATTAAAGGCTAAGGTAAAAATAAGTTTCTCAGAAGATTCCCTGATCCCATTATTCTGCTTCTGTCTGACCCAAAAAGAAGTCTAAAAATGCCCTGAGGGATGGAGAGTGAATATAGGTATTCCTAGCCTTTAAATCTAGCATATATCTCTTTAACCTTTAGTCCTTTATCCATATCCCGATTCCAAAGAGACCTATTAAGAAAAACAGAAGATATATCTACTGAAAACTCCTACCATTCACCATTGTATTTCAAGGTGGTGACTAGTACCATAAATCAAACTCAAGCTGTATCTTATAGTCAAGATCAGCTAACTCTACTTTGTCTTTTGTGTGGAACAGAACTGACCATAGCAAAATACTTACCGAGCAATTATCAAAATTGGACCTCACTCTATTTGGTCACATAACGTATATATCCCCCTTTTCACTTTGCAAAATGATTTTAAATAGACTTTTATAACCATTCCTCCCTGGCAACCAAGAAATGGCCCTGAACTTTTACTGTTGAGACCATGATCAATGGTTACCTGTTGCACATTCATTTTAGCCAAAGGATTTCACTTCCCATCAAGAACCTAGTCTTCCCAGGATGTCTTTTGTGCAAAAGAACAAAATGCACAGAATAGATAAAGGTTTTACCTACAGTTGTATGGTAGAAATCATGACAGAGCTGACATAAAGATTTTAGCCCTTGCCTTTCTGGTCTATTTTCTGTGCCACTTTGTTGTTGAGTTCTTTCAGTCAGGTCAGACTCTCTGTGCCCCCATTTGGGGTTTTCTTGGCAAACATACTAGAGTTATTTGTCATTTCCTTCTCCAGCTTATTTTATAGATGAGAAAACTGAGGCAAACAGAATCCTTTGACTTGTTCAAGGTCACATAGCTAGTAAGTGTCTGAGGCTGGATTTGAACTCGGGTCCTTCTGAGTCCAGGGGCTATCTACTCTGTCACTTAGCTGCCTCTGTATTTGAAATTATATTAAAATTATAGAGCTGCAGGGGATCATCAAGTCCAGCCCCCTCTTTCAACAGGTTTCCTCATTGGAGTCCCAGAGGGAAGTGACTGTCCAAGGTCATATACTAAATAGCAGAACCAGAAAAAGAAACTATATCTCTTGATTCACATTCCTTAGCTACCTGGTCTCCTAACTAGACCAACACCTTTGAATACTCGAAGAATCTAAAATTGTCAAATGCTAGAGTGAGAAGAGGCCTAAATAAGCATCTAGGCACAACCCCCTAATTTGTAACATTACAAATTAGAAAACAGAGGCTCCCAAAGTTGATGTGAATTACTCAGGGTTTATATCTAGTTAGCTGGCAATCGAATCTGAGTCTTTTGGCTTCAATTTGATGGTCCTTTCTAAAATACCCCATGGCATCTTGGATGGAGCTATTTGGGTAACAACACTTTATAAGTGATCAAAACTTTTCATTACAGGTAAAAGTAACATTTCCTGTCTACCACCAAATCTTTCTGCAAGAGCAATTAAATGAAAATGATCCAGCTTCATTCTCTTTTCCATTGTTGATTGTTGTGTTCTCCTTTCAGAGGGAGGTTCTCAAAATGCTGAAAGGACCAAGAGTCAGGAAGCAAGAGGAAGAGAAGGAAAAAAACCTAAGAGTCTTCTCTGTGGGGTCATCAAAATCTGGACGTATGAGTTGCTTATGTTCATATAAGCAAGTTCACTACAAGCAAAGTTGTACTATAAGCACTCTAGGCAAATTCATCATACAAGCAAAATCATGGATGGGAAAATCTACTATGATAAGGCTCTATCTAAAGACAGCTATGAAATGTTCTGAAAGTGAATATAGTAGAAGTGGTCAAGACTTCCCAGATCTTCCATTTTAATTTTAACTCAATTTGATTCTGCTCTCTCCCTCATAGACCTAAAGATGGGTCTTCAGAAACCATATAATCCAAGCCTCTCATTTTATAGATGAAAAAGAGGCCTGAGGAAAATGAATGACTTGCCTAAAGCCACATGGGTTGCAAATGTCAGAATTGGGATCTGAACCAGGTCCCCAGAGGCCACAGCTAGTTCTCTTTCCTCTATTACATGCTCCTTCCCAAAATGGAGAAATCCAGACATATGGGCTGGTATGACTATTTTGTCCTCTGGCCTAGGACAAAGGTGTCCAGCTGTATTATCTACTGGCTGATGGCCAGGTCTGAATGAAAGTTACAAATGCAGATGCATTGTAAATGACCCCACTAGGACAGTTCTCTGGAAACAGGATGGATGGTTTTGTAGATACACTGACTTCTGCCTTCTGAAAATGGTATTTTCAGTAATACTGAACTGTGAAAAGCTCAACTACACCTCAGTTCTCCTTTGCAAATAGCAGAGTGCCCAGCAAAGAGCCTGGGAAATGCTCTAGGACCAGGTCAACAAAAGGTTATTATTGGGGGTACGGGGAGGGTTGGTAAGGGGTGGGAGGGAAAGGTCACCAGAAATATAAGAACAGCTTTGCTGTTAACAAACCCCTCCTTGTCATGTGCTTTCATGTAGCATCTGATCAAACGCCTCTATTTTCCTTTTTGATATGGCAACAATGAACGCTATACAACAAATAATACAGCATAACAAAAGCTTTCTGCAGTCAGTGTCCATATGGTGGAACATCATGCCTCCCCCAGGATAAGCTGATCATCTGAAATCTCATCATCATGCAGATTGACTCAGCTTTAGATACCCACCCCCTTCCAATCTCCCATGGTCGCCTCTCCCCTCTGATTGGTGGGCTAGAGGGCAGAGCAATAAGCTCCTCCCAAAGTCTTCCTTTATAGAGGGCTTAGAACTTTCCAAGCAGCTTTCCATTTTCCACTGGAACATCATGCCCCATAGGAGATTCCCCCTGGTGCCCTCTCCTCCCAGCTTTTCACTTTCCTTTTGTGTATTGTCTTGCCCCATTAGACTGCAAACTCCTGGAGGGTAGGAACTGTCTTTTTTCTTAGCAAAGTGCCTGGCACATAGTAGGTGCTTGTTGAATTGAATTGAATTAGTATTCTTAAATATTCACCTACCTATAGGAAAGCTAAAAAGCTTTTAAAGAATCTTCGCACTTTGTTGGAAGAAAATCAAAATGGGTCATGAGTAACGAAGAGCCAAGATCAATATGAGATGGGCAGCATAACTGTGGAGGAAAGACAAATGAAGTTAAAGGAGGCCTAAGTTTGAGTCCCATTTCTCTCACTTGCTAGCTCTGTGACTGGGGTAAATCACGTAACTATTCGGAGATGGAGTTTCCTGATTGGAAAAATGGGGATAATAATCATCTCTCTACCTATATACCTCACGGGGCTGTTGTGAGCAAAAGCAGTTAAAATGCTATATAAATGTGAGCTATTATTACTACGGTTAAAGAGTTCCATATACATAACTACTCTGCAGATAGGTGAGATATAATATGGAAATACCTACAGTGAAAGTTCACCTGGACTAAGAAGAGTGATTGATTTCATGGGCAGGTACTGAAGAAAGTATTTGTTTGTGTGGACAATTTCAGTTAAATCTGTTATATGGTATCAAATTAGCAACCCTTCATAGGATCATAGATTTAGAGATGGAAGATCATTGAATCTATCTTTATTTTACTGATGAAGAAGCTGTGACACAGAAGCAACCTCCTTGTTTTGCAGTTGAAGAAGCTGAGGCTTAGAAGCAGACTTTGCAGATGAAAAAACTGAGGCACAGAACTAGCTTCCTTGTTTTGCAGATGAAGAAACTGAGGTGCACAGAGGTTGTGACTTGTCAAATGCCAAATAACTAGTAAGTTACTGGGACAGGATTCGAATCTTTTTTCTTCTCTGGGCTTATTTTTCTCTTTTCAAAAAGGAGGAGGTTGAATTATTAGTACATGACTCCTAGACACCTCCCAACTCTAACATCTTCTGAACTACGTCTTAGCATATTCATTCTGAGAGCTAAGGAGTTTGAAGAGTTGCATGGACCATTTGTTTAATTCAAGGAAAAAATATTGCAGATTATTTTGAATGAGCATTTAGCAATCAGAATTGAATCACTGGTATTTCTTATAAAAATGTTTATTAACCTTTCTAAGCAAGATGTCACACCATATAAAATATTTTATTTAAAGAATTTTTTTGAAAAGTCACAAATCTGGTTTTTAAAAACAAAAATCACAAAGTCTGCACAGAAACAGACCAACAGCTTGAGAGGCATTCAATGGCAATGTTCAGCACCCACATTCACTGTGCTACAGGGCCATATGCAGGAATTCTGCTCTCAGAGAAAAGGTTGTGGGGCACATAATAACTGTATGACCAGGAAACCACTCCCTCTCTTACTTTCTACCAATGTCATCTCTTACTTTCTACCAATGTCACTGGCTGGCTGAGCTATTAACTAGCATCAGATTTTTATGTGGTGTTACACTGGGTTGGTGGGTTTAATGATGATTGATAGTTCAGCCAGCCTATCACAAAAGTTGCCAGAATATTCATACTAAAATTCTTACTCCTACTTCTACTCTTACTACTAGTAGTAGTAATGATAATGATGGTGGTGATGACGATAATGGCAATGATGATCATGAAGAAGAATAAAAAAGACACAAGCATTCCTTGTACTGTGCTAACGGCTGGGGATATGAATACAAACAAAAGGAAAGACAACCCCTGATCTCAAGCTTACATTCCAATGGGGAAAGCTGACTTACAAAAAGAAGCTGACATACAAAAAGAAGAGGGATGGAGAATAAAAGGGAAGAAGAGGGTTGGATAATTTTGAAGTCCATAAAGTCAGGAGCTGGACCAAAAAGAGAATGCTGGTTGCCCTGGACAAATCACAAAATGGAGGCTCCAGAAGGAAATCACCAATGGGAGAAAGGGGCGGATCTTGCGAAGGGATATTCTGTAGTGAGCAGGCTGTAGGGATGCCAAGATCTTCCAGAGTGCTGAGGGGAGTTGAATGATGAGACAGTGGATTAGGTATGATTTTGATGTACAAAAAGTCAGGAGGAAGTAGGAGGGGGAGGAAAAAAAAATAATAATAAGTGTATTGCTTCAAAGTTTGCAAAGCACTCTGCAGCTATCCTATTTGATCCTCACAACAATCTCAGTAGGGAGGTAATGTTATTATTTCCATTTTACCAATTATGAAACTAAAACAGAAAGGTTAGGTGACTTGTCCAGGGTCATACAGTTAATAAGTGACCATAAAGGATGATGTATACATATTCCTTCTTCCTCACTTCTGGTAGAAGATGGTCTTAGGCAGGAGTCTGAGGATGGAAAATATTTACTGCTAATCCAGAGATGACAGAGGCATGGTTGCCACAACCACATCCATGGGTATCACTAGGAATGATAGAAGGGTAGGGCTTCCAGCTGGAGTCTGAGATAAATGCAGCAATGAGCCCAAAGATTCTGCTGTGGTTCTAATCCTGCTGAACTATCACTCTTCTGGATGAAATGTGCAGTTACCAACAGAAACCCAAACAGTGAGGATTCAAGTCATAGTTTCCCACAAAACCCACATGCTTTAATAGACTTGGAGTCAAACAACCCCGGACTCAAGTCCTCCCACCTCCTCAATGAGATCAAAGGAAAGTCTTTCAGATTCTTTGAGCCTCAGTTTATCCATCTGTAAAAAAAATGTGCAGGATTCTTGTGAGGAAAGTTCTTTGTAAACAGCTAAAGTGTAAAAACGTAAGTTATTGTTTCATCGCTGTTGTTGTTGTTACCAAGGAAGAAAAGATTATAATTTATAACTACTATGTAACAACTATAATTTGACCTCCCGCCAGTGAGTTCTATGTTCTTCTGCCAGACAAGAGAAAAAGATACAAACTGAGGAGGTGGATCGAATTTTTCTACTTGTCTTTTTGCCTAAAGCATACTCAGTACCATAATGCAATATCCTTAAGAATTGGATCTATAATTGAATTTACAGGTGATGGCCAATAAAACTGCTTTTAGGGAGGAAGGAGAAAAGAACAAACATTTATTAAGCACTTTACAAATACTTCATTTGATCCCCACAACCCTGGGAGGTAGGTGCTATTACTATCCCTATTTTATAGTTAAGGAAGCTGCCCAGGGTCAAACAATATCTGAGGTCAGATCTGAACTTGAGTCTTTATGACTCCAGGCCCAGTGCACTAACCACTGCACCATCTAACTACTTTTATTTTCTTTATGACATTTACAAGTGACTTCTGGTGGGAGACAAAACTACATCGTGGGTATATGGAGCTTCCTGTCAGTGACAAACCTTACAGGATTTATACTTAGCCACTGTTGCTGTTGAGTCATTGCAGTTGTCTCTGACTCTTTGTGACCCCATTTGGGTTTTTCTTGGCAAAGGTACTGGAGTGATTTACCATTTCCTTCTCCAGCTCATTTTACAGATGAGGAAAGTGAGACAGGATTAAGTGACTTGCCCAGGGTCACAATGCTAGTAAGTATCTGAGGTCGAATTTGAACTAGGGTCTTCTTGATTCCAAGCCCAGCGTTCCATCCACTGCCCCACCTAGTGGAGGTGAATTAGCTCCCCTTAGACGTGTTACAACTGGGATAGTTGCTCATAATTAGTGGTGCCCATTTAGTGCAAAGCTGGTTATTAGGTTTTTCAGGAGTGACTAAAACTGGTGCAATCTGTGCTTCAGTAGAAAGGGGCAGAATCAGCAGCAGAGGATTTGATTTTGAATCCCAATGTACCCCTTAGGGGTATGTATTCAAGGAGTTGCTAAGGTCATCAGGACCTGGAAGGTGGATATCTGCTGGTTTCAGTGAGGATTTTACAGCATTCCTCTCCTAAAATGGTTGGGGAAGCTTTGTGCTGCCCTCAGGGCTGGGGAGGGGGCGGGTTGAGGGGCGGTTGACTTTGGTAGAAAAGCTAGCTCTTCTCATCCTAAGGGATTATGACCATGGGGGTCTGTGTGTAATCACATGGAAACTGCAGAGGAGCAGCAGCCAGGAGGATGTCAGTGCCTAGCACTGAATCCAAGGCAACATAAAGGTGGGGCAAAAGGGCTGGATCCTGTGTTCCTCAAACTCTTGATGGACAGCAGAGCACAGGGGACAGTTTTTATTCCCTTCTCCCTTTAGGCTTTCTCTGCTTTTTATAGATACTGTACCCCTAAAGAGGTTTTCGTCTTGGCATTGAATCAGCAGTGGCTGGGGCAGGAATTACTGGCTAGCACTGAAGTGAGGCCTCTCTTTAAAAAAAAACAAATGAACAAAAATATCTTTGTGACCCCAACGTAGAGAAACACCATTCACTGAGAGGAGATGGGAACAAGAAGTAGCTGGAAAGAAATTCACACCCAGGTGCAAGAGTAGCCTGGCTCACAAAATGATAATGACTGAGTAGGAGTGACTAAAAGCCATGCCTACCTACGGTACATAGC